CCGGTATACATGAAATAACATGTAAGTATCTGGTATTTTCATATCCAGCAAGCAGGTGGAGCTCTTGGTTCTTTTTACTTGTATTCCTGCTTGCCCTTGGCCCCTTTGTTGTTTTTGAGCTTGTTAACAGAGCTCAATATTTCAAGGTAAAATTTACCCATGATTAAATGAGTAAGCAGTGACTTCTCTTTCTACTTCTCTCCATGCTTTTTTAAGACACCCTTCAAGTTTCAATCAGAAACTGAACTAAAATTGCTACAGTTTTGCTCTATTTTTTTTTAAACCAATACTGCTTTGTAAATCTTATTGGGTGCTTGCTACATTAAATTTTTGTTAGCGAAACAAACATTTTAAATAAAAATAGTAAAAATGTATTTATAAAATATCAGTTTAAAACCCCGCAATCTTTAAGGATTAGGATCATTTGACTATTATAGTTCCATATATAGTGGCCCTCAGAGTTAATACTCTACTAAAGTATATGTCTACTAGCAGAAGGTAAGAATCCTGTTTCTTGGTTGATGGTAACTCCAGCTTTGACTCAACCTACAGTTAATCTTTGTCTGTCTTTGCCAATATCAGTCTGTTTTTTGTATGTTGGAAACCTGGTAATACTTTCGAATTTTATCCATGGCAGAGTTTCAGAATTACATGTTAGTCTCCTTTTTTTTTTTTCCTCTCCTTTTAACAATGGAAATGAAAACATTGCACTCATCCAAGGAGATATTTAGTTCTCATCTCTTAGTTTGTCCAGTGATTTGTTATCTCTTTGTTTACTTCAGGCTAGAATTGCCCCTACTGTCACTTCCTGGAGTAACAAAAACCCTACTGCCCTTACCAGCTTTCCACCTGCTGCCTTCTCCTCCTTTGACACACAGGTATTATATTGTGGTCCTCCACAGATTTGATGCTTTCTTCCCTTTTGCACACTTTTTTTTTTCTGGTTGAGCTATTCTGTTTTGAAATTCACTGGGCATGCGTTGATCCCTTGCACAGTGCGGTGTGTCCAAATCTTCATGTTACTCACTCTACAGAACCATTATACAGCATGTTTTGGTAAGGGAGATGCCCATCAAGTTTTTATACAGTTTATCTCTCTGTAGTGCTGCTTCACCTGGATACTCGCTACATATGGGTGTTACTCTCTACCTGCTCTCTGAAGATGGCTTTATAACAAGGCCCTGCTTGGATATTATGCTGCAATATTATTATTTTTTGTTACAACACGTAACAGCACGTCCGTTCCTTTTCAGAAGAGTGCATGATTGGGGCATCATACAAAGAAAATCAAAATGGATTGAAAACCACTAGTGTATTAAACGTTTGTATAACACATGATGTAATAATCACGGGCAAGATTCACAGCTGTTATGTTACTGAGATTATGCTGTATTTTAAGGATGGTTTCCCTTTTGTTTACAGAGAGAAAGTGCTCCACAGGTTGGCTTTAATCTGCAAGGGATGATGTATCCATCTCAACCAGGACCTGCAGGACCCCCTCCCGATTCCAACACCAACCCTTACAACATGAGCTCCCAAATGGGACCACGACAACCGTATCCACAAAGTATGTGCGCTTTGTCTTTTATCGCAGCAACCATTTAGCACAAGTTGTCGCAAACAACTTCTGTTTATAATAAACATTAGCTCAAGTCAAGTGGAGCTTAACATTTAGAGTAGCAGTGTACAAGGCTCTGTTTAACAATCGTGTTGCCTATACAAAAATCTCTTTAAGGAGAACTCTTGGCGAAACCTTCATTACCCCTGCACTGCAAGGGTTAAGTTAATGGCCCATTTTTGTCCAGGTGCTAAAAAAAAAGTTATACACACCTGAACCGCTAAACCAGCTGCTTGCTTCTCTGGTCTCTGAAGCCTATCTCCTCCTACGCTGCAGCATTGCAATGTTCCTCAACGTCCTCGCGTCTATGCATTGTGTATAGAACATGATGATTTACGGGAACCTTAGACCACTACAGTGGAGAGCGAGAGAGTCCCCAGGGACTGGTCTAAGAGCAAGCCAGCTCCTAGGATTGTGTGAATATAACTTTTCATTATTATTATTTTTTTAAATTATAGTTCCTAGATCCAAACGAGCAGTTAACCCTTGCAGTAGCTGCACTGCAAGGGTTAATAAAAGTTTTGTCCAGAGTTCTTTCCGTATTTTCTTGTTTTGTTCAGCCAAAATATACTATAAAGGTAGGCCTTTTTTAGTTCAATATGACTTTAGTAAAGGTTTTAATTACAGCACAAAACGGTGTATTAGACAATTTCACCGAAAACAAAAGAAAAACATAAAATCAAAGAAAGAATGCGTATATTGGTGGTTTCCGTGGACATCGTCAGCATTATATACAACAGCATTCGAATGGGAATATTATATCAAAATAGACAAGTATAGACATCCCATCGTATAGCAGAGATCATGAGCATCATCATAGACCAAAGAATATTGTGTGTCAACCCTCCCGAATCCCACATATCGTGAGTCCCAGGGACATGGCAGAGAGAGGACTGGAAGAGCAAACATATTGTGCTCTGCAGGCTATAGTGATCAAAGGAGGGATGCCTAGTATCGCTTGTAATAGAAGTACTAGTGGGAAGGACAAGGAAGAAGGGCACATGAAGAAGAGGGGGAAAAAAGAGACCAGGGGAAGCATAGGAAGTGCCAAGCCAGGAGTCGACGGACTCCCATCCCTTCCATGTATCTCAGGGGAGCCCGCAAATAGGCATATCATGGAGAAAGGGCTGCCAAGAAACCGTAAAGGTAGGCCTTTTTTAAGGGGATTTCCATTGGTATTCTTGAGACCCTTCTAACATGTTCCCATCCCCATCAGCCTCATCTCAAATGGGCTCCACCTTACCTTACTTGGTGGCAGACTGGTCCGACCAGTAAAATACAGTTCTACATCTTTTCAGAAGACTTCCTGTTTTTTTTGTGTTTTTTAATTCTTTTGTGAACAATTTTCTTGAACATCTTTGAACAGTATTGTTCTACATGTTTTGGCCAGCCCTTGCAGTTCAAGCCACAAAAATGTGTAGTTGTGGTTTGAATAGTAATAGTAAAAAACGTGTTAAAAATGTTATTCTTAATGCAGAATTTTTTTGTAACTAAAGCATGCTCTCACTATATGGCACGCTTACTCCTTAGTGCTTCCTCCAGCGATTTCCCCCATTTCCACTATCTTGTGTGCCTTTTCTTACGGGTTGCACAGCGCTCCTCTTCAACCACTGGGCTGCCATTGATGATGTACTTGCTGTGCATGTGCACAACAGATGCATTATCCCTAGCTGTGTTCTCGGCGAGCCAGGAATGGGCTGAAGTGTACACTGCATAGTGCATGTGGTGTGTGTGTGTAATATAGAAAATAAAAACAACTAAATACTAACCTACATAAATTTACTGTTTTACCCTTCAAAGCATTTGTAATTTAGGCCAGGTACCCTGTGCACAGCTTGAAAGATTATTATAGTACTTCCTGGTTCAGCTTTACTGCTACTGGCTTACCTCCCTGTTGATTGGACAGAATTGATAATGCTGAGTGATCTTCCTTTGAGCAGGCTGAATGTAGAGACATTAGAAGTTGCATTGCTGAAGAAGAAAATAAACATTTGTGCCTGGCTTTGTAATGTGGTAGAAGTATGTAAACCACAAAACCTGAACAGAATTCTAAACAACATTTAATACGGTGTTTAGCCATTTGCCCAAAACTGCTTTAATGATTATCTTTTCTGTATGTTTGTTGTTCATGTTATATCAGCATGTTATGCATTCTGACAATGTACAGACTCTTTTAGTAATGTCATTTTCTTCTTCCCTCTTCATTCTGTATAGCCTATCCTCAGCCACAACACTATTCATTTAATCGTGGGGGACAAGCTGTCTATCAGCCCCAGCAACCTGCCTCAATCCAGTCTGCTTCTCCTTACCATAGTTCTCCTTACAGCTCATCTTCTCACTCTGCTCCTCAGCCCCCCTATCCTGTGCAGCATCAGCCTTCTCAAGTGTCATCTTCTTCTCCCTCTTTTCATACTTCTGGAGCATCCTTCCAGCATGGCGGACCTGGGGCTCCAGCTATCAATGCACCTTATGCAATGCCTCCTCCTGGACCTACAGGTACTCTGCCTGCCGCCAGTGAACTGCCTGCATCCCAGAGAACAGGTCTGAGCATGAAATGGGGGTTGGTGGGAGCATGGGCTTTATACTTTATTGCTATTTTTAAAGGATGGGAGCTGCAGAAATGCATGGGTTTATGGCTGCTTAGAATCTTGTGCCTTGCATTGTTTTTGTGTTGTGGGTGTGGAAAAATTTACTCAAACATATACTGTATTGCCATGAAATGGGTATGAAATATACATACTGGTGAAATAGGTTTTAAATACATAACCCTTATTTAATTGATGCATCTAGCTGTTTGGGTATAATCTTAGGAAGAGCCTGGAAGAATATAATTGTGGTCATACTTTGATTGCAAGCATAGGCATGGTTGATCCTTTCTATTGATGCTATCAAATAAAATCTAAAACTGTACTTCCTAATATAATAAACAACACACTACTATAGGGTATCTATTTTTACACTGGATTTTCATATCTCCTGTATATGATGGGGAGGCTATAATTTGCCTTTATTTTGGAGACTGGTCAAAGCAGGTTGAAGTGACTGAAAGGGGAAAGAAACACCTCAATGACCCGCATCCCATCTGTCAGTTTACTGTTTCAGTCTGTAAGTCATTATTCCAGTCTCAAAAATGGACCCATTGCCCTGCATCATTTTCTGCTTGGGTGACTGACAAGCTAAACCATACAAGTTTCTGTAGGGGTTTTTTATATCCAAGTGCACAGCGCTAAAAAACTCACTTTGGGAATTGCATAAACAAACAATACAAATGTGGCAAAATTAATAAATAAATAGTGAAACTCTCGTAATAAAATACCAAATGGTGAGGTGATGTGTTAAAGGAGAACTATGCAGTCAGTTCTCCTAAGGGTAACGGGACGACACAAACTAGCGTCCTCCCGTTACCCTAAGCTCAGGGTAACGGGAGCAGATCCCGACTTAGATGATGGGATCCGCCCAGCTGCGTGAGTGACAGCTGGCTCTAGAGGCAGAGCCAGCTGTACCCACCCCCTCCCCGTCCGTTCCGCCAGTCAGCGCTGGCAGATCGGAGAGGGGAATCCAGCCCCTCCCCCTGTCACGGCAGGGAGCCGTGACAGGATCGAGAGGTGAGCGAACCCGGTAGGTGTTCGCTCACCTCCCGATCTACTGAGCCGACCTGTGACAGTCTCATTGTCACAGGTCGGCTAGAACTATGAGGTGAGTGAAAAGCACTCACCTCATAGTTCTCCTTTAAAGTATTAATCAGTTAGTATAAAGTGCCACATCACTTCTGTAGGGGTTTGCTGATAGCTAGTGGAGGTAAACGAATGTATAAAAAAACAGGACTTAAAGCCCGCATCCCTGCTTAGTTTAATATTCTTTAAAAGGGAACAAAAGCATTGCATGTGGAAAAAAATGAGCCTTTTTAAATGAATAAAAATTTCAGTTTTAAATCCGCCAAATATACTCAATGTGCATCAGAACAGAAGATGTGCAAACATCCCACCGATTGTTTTCTTTAGAATGCTAAATCAACTAAATACATTCCAGATGCATAAAAGCAGAAGGTATGTAAAGTCTTACAGCTTGTTTTCTTTAGAAAGTAGACACAGTCTGACTAGAAGAGACTGTCCCCTGCCAGCATGCTACGGAGAAGGACTCTTGCTTTCTTTTGAGGAATCAGTGTTGTCTCTTTAGAGGTCTAACACACCCTCTTTGAGTCAAACTTGTAACTTTGCAATAAGCAAAGCTCATGCTCCTTGCTGACTGGAGAGATTTAGCTCCGACTTAGGGGGCATGTCGAACATCTGCAGAGAGGCCATCGCTTCCACACAGAGAGCAAGGGTCGTTCTCTGAAGCATGCTGGCAGGGAACAGGCTTTTCTACTCGGGCTGTGTCTGCTTTCTAAAGAAGCTGTAAGGCTTTGCACGCCTTTTTGTTTTCATGCACCTGCAATGTATTTAGTTGATTTAAACTGAAAGTTCAATTGGGCTTTAATTGTAAATCAAAGTCTTAGTTCATGATGTTATTTCTAAATGTTTAGTAGTAACACAGTTAAATAATATATAAGTGATTTTTATATTTCATCTGCAGAATATACCGTTACTCAAGATATGGCAATGTACCCTCCAGGTGAACAGTGTGCTGCAGCAAATAGCCAATCCGTTAGCTATACTTTGTAGACATTTGCTTATATATACTTTAAGAACTTTTTCGACAAATTCATTGTATTGTTTCTAAAATGAACATTTAGCATCCTATGAACAATCAACTAAAATCAAAGATATGATCCCTGTTTAAGCTGAACTCATGCCAAAACTTTTTTTGTAGTTTTTTTTGGCCACAGTGTGGAAGGGTTTGAATCTGTCAGGTTTTTATTGCTAGGGATTTCCTTTTGATTTCTGTGCTTTGTCATTTGGAAAAAAAAAAACATGCCAAAACTGAGAAGTGTCCCAGTGATGGCTGTCCAATGTGGGATTTCCCATTTATTTTGAGAAAATTTCTTTTTGTTTTGACAAGAAGTGAGAGGAAATCTCGCCAAAAGATACACGTTGGCACGACTCGACAATTTCTAACCTTTCCTTACGCTTAACTTGTTTTGGGTAGAGGTGCACTTTAAGGGATCTAAGATAACATGTACTTTCCATTTTCTATAAATCGATAACTCATTTTAATTACAAATTTCCCTTTCAATAATATGATCAACTGAAATGTTAATTTGGATAAAATGCTATTAATATATGTGCCTTTTAAAATGCAGTGTATTATTCAGATTTACTCTTAATATTGCAGCCTAAAATATAATTACATGACTAATCCATGGCATTATCACAGTCTAATAGTCTCCTCAATTACTTGAAATGTATTTTTAAAGTAAACCTAGGAAAGAGTTACACTTTTGAAGTCAGCATAAGTTAAAAGCAGGCTCAGAATGATACCGTTACATACTTTTATCTACATACTGAATGCACCAGGACCCCTCAATCAAATGCTTCCTATACTTAGAGCAGCTTTTAGTTCCACATTGGAATTCGAAAACCCTCCTTGTGTGTCCCTCTTTGGGATCAGTAAGGTGTGTACACTTCAGTAAATGGAGGGAGTGAAGGAAGGGTTACTTAGTACCCTATACAACACGTATAGGTTTACATAAATGGTCATAATACCCAAAAACATATAATTCGGTTTTTGGTACATAACAGCCATATCTCTGCACCTTGTGTGGCTAGGTTTTTCTGTCAGCTGTAACTGAGTTTTATTTAAAGCCCAGTAAAGGCACAATGCAATTCAGTAGGTTGTAGAGACCCCTTACTGTAAACTCACCTGCCATATTAAAATCTTCCTCCTTCTCTCCACAAATCTTAAGTATACCTGCAGGTGGAAGACCAGCTTCCACTGAAATTCAGTCTCATAGACTTGGGTGCTGAAGTCACATCTCTGTCCCCCTCTGCTCCTGGCCAAATCACAAAGCAAACGCTTGCTGATTGGTTGCTGAGTTTACTGAAATTTTCCCCAGATTACAGTGTATCCTGTACCAGCCTTATACCAGTGGCTGGACTAACTTGTAGAGAGCAAACTAAATCAGAGTAGTGCAACTTTATCAAACCACTTCCCAACATCCACAGACTCATTCTTGCTGCGGCTGTTTAACATTTTTATTTTTATACAACAACAGTTGTGTAGTTTCATCAAAGGAGAGTTAAATCACATTGTATGTGGTTTACAATAGCTCTAGAGACTAGCTCATTGGTTTGTAAAATGGCTGTGCCCCTGTACTGAATATACAAACCTGCTGCTTCCTAATAGTAAGGATCAACGCTTGCCAAAAATAGTTGTTTACTTAAATTTACATTTTTCAGGTTATAATTGGTTGCTGCTACACTGAACAGTGTAGCAGTAAACTGTGCTACTGTTGCTTTCTTACCTTGAAACCTGACCATTAAACTCTGTTACAGGGCCCCTAAATGGATGGAACGATCCCCCTGCACTGACCAAAACTGGAAAGAAAAAGGTATAAGACATAGGTGTTTTGCCTATCATATAGACCCCTGGTAAAAGGATACAGGCCTTTCTATTAACTCTTGGCAAAATGTTTTGTTTAAAATCGTTAAAACTCCTCACTTTCTAGCCCAGTGACCTGCACTAGGACCATTACAAGAGGGATCACATTTTCCCTATTGGATTTTATGAAGCATGCAAGAGGAGGAAAGTAAACACTCTACAGCATAGGTGTCAAACTCAAGGCCCAGAGGCCAAATCCGGCACACCAGGCCATTTCCTAGACTTCTACTTTCAGATCTGGGTGTTAAGTTATTACTAAAACTAGTGATAATCAAATGCCGAGGCAATTATGATAAAGATTAGATACATTTATATAGTCTTACAGATACCTGTGAGTGCAACCATAATCTTGATGCAGCCCACGATTACATTGAGTTTGACACCCCTGCTCTACAGGTTGCAGAAACATGTATAGCTCCACTGTGGGCTTACAGGAGACAAAGTAACTGTGGAGGAGAAATGTCCTTACTAAGATCCCTTTCTGAAATATAGGAAGTGTGTGGATGCCTAAGACATATACAAATTTTAGTTTTATATGTACTGATCCCTAGAGAATAGAGACTCAAGGAACAAGTTGAGAGCGATTCCATGTCTAGTGTGGGAACCATAATGGAGAGAAAGCTTCTTGTTTGCTTTCTATTACGAGAAGATAGAACAGAGAGATATGATACCGTATGCCCTAATTATTGCTGTTAATGTATTTTATTTCTTTTTTTCCCCCCTAGGTTCTGGAAAACTACATACCACCTCCACCAATAATAGCTCCCATAATGACCCCCTTAACAGACCCACGATCCCAGCAGCAAGTTCCGGTTCCTGATACTTCAGTCCCTTATCAGCCCTCTCAGATGCCTCGTGGCCAACCAGGAGTACAAAATACTTTCCCCGTGCCACCTCCCACTGGACAAGCTGGGGCGCACTTTGACCCCTCAAAACCTAGTGCTGAGGGTGCTCCTGGTGCACCAATTGGGAACACCATACAGGTCATTATGTTTACGTAGCATAAAAACGTATGTGGTTGTTCAATAACTTGCCTAAAAGGAGATTACATGTCTATATCAGCCAATCACAAAAATATATTTCATTTTCCCAGTCAGCATTGGGAAATCCAAAAATCTGTTTTGATATGTTCTTCCTCTGGATACTTTGATAAATAATGCCAGTGTCTGAAAAAGAAGGACCCCCCTTTGCACCAACTTTAAAATCAACTTTTCCGGTGCAAGTTTGAAACCTTAAGCAGAAAAGTTTGAACAAAATAAGAGAGCAAACGTTGGGAGTAAAACAAAAGATTGTAAACAGTTAATGGAGTTTTAGTTCTGTATTAGAACCTCTGTTAGGATTGTACTGCTGTCAGTCCCCATATTTTACAGATTTCTCATCACTTCCTGCTTTGGCCACCTGAAAGAGTAAGAACACGGACATTAATAGGCTATGTGGGCACAGATGCATCCTCTTTCTAGTATACTACAATATTCCCCATAAATAATAATAATATAATCCAAGTGACTGGCACAGTCAACTGTGATTGAGAGGAAATCTCCCAAAGGGCACACAGACAGCAGTCAAAACCCAACAGTGATCAAAACTCCGCTTCCAAAAAATAAAAGCTTGGAGTAGATGTCTCCGTTAAGTTTCCTAATGTAGGTCCGCACATTATAGGTATACAAATAATTTGATATAACGGATCATTTATTTAAAGAAAAGCAGCTACCAAAACACAAGCACTTCTGTCCAGGGTAGTTTGCAAATATTTATATTTTTTACCAGCAGGTTAGGTGACAGTACTGGTGGGCATGTTTGAAGGGAACCTATGGGAAGTTTGTCGCCTCTCAAAATAACTCTTGATTCTTATTTACTGGGCTCCAGGACCCCAAAACCTGGCTGCAGTATAGCTACTGCAACTTTCTGGTTACATTTTTGGCCCACATCCTGCTATCTACACCTTTCTAATGAGCATTTACCTTCCAGTAGGGAGATCCAGAGGGCACGAGGAGGCAAGCCAGGAGCATCCCTGGGGTGCTGTGGTAGCTATTTACACCATGTGTTCTGCAGATCTAGCTAATGTGCTCTTTGGAGCCATTTTTTAGGTCACTGGTTCCCTTGAATGTAAATCTTTACCTCCCTCTGAAGATTTACTGTCTGGCAGGACAGTGACTTTTCACCTCATGAGCTATTTAATCTGTATTAGCTTGTATAGGGGAAAGTGACATTAAGTAAACCACAATATGCTCTATTGTGTTGACCAACTACTGACAGTTCTAAGGAAGCTTTCTCATCCCCCCCCCCCCTCCACATTTGCCAATACCATCTGCCAGGAGCATGCTTTCATTTTATTTTTCAGAGGTCAGCAGTAATCCGACACTGCCCTCTTCTGGTGTTGCCAGGTGGAATGTGTTTGTCATTCTAATTTATTTCTCGGTTATCTGAATTTTACAGAATATGCTTTGTTTTAAGCCATTGTACATCTGAATTTACATTTATAAATGTTACATGTGTTTTTTAGACAATGCACGCCCTCCCCACTGAAAAGATCACCAAGAACCCAATCCCTGAAGAACACCTTATTTTAAAGACCACATTTGAGACTCTGATCCAAAGATGTTTGTCTTCTGCCATCGACCCAGTAAGTGACATTGGCTTTCTTTCAGAGGTTGGAAAGAAGGAAGGGGTTGATGCACCTTTTCAAAAATGTTGAACATTGAAAAATTCCCTGACATGTTTGTCTATTGATTATAATGGACATCTCCCTGCTTACAGCCATTGCTGTTCCAAAGGGCTCACAGCCACTTTGCTCTTTTTCTTTTTTTTTTTTTTTTTCCCAAATTCCAGCCCTGCTTTGTTTTAC